CTGCTGCTTGCTGGGGAGCCCTCCTGTGAGCTGTGCTGCCCAGTGCTGTGTTTTGTCCCACTGAGTCTGTATACAGAGGACTCCAGGTTGACAGTTTGGTGATTTGTTGTCCTTTGGGAGCAGGCGTATGGGGTGGGGCCCTGCTTACAGTGCTCCTGGGTCAATGTCTTGGGTGGAGCTTCTCTGTGTTTAGAGTGAAGGTGTGACTGTTCAAAACAGATGTAAGCCTGGGTTCCTTAAATTTAGGTAGCAACCATTCCATGGTGGAGGCCTCTAATCCTCAAGGAACCGATTTGAGGCCCCTGGAGAAATAAGTTTATAAGTGTGCGATTAGAAAGAACACTTACTGCCCTGATTTTTTTCCGGGGACCTAAAATGCAAAACAGAGAAGGACAGAGAGAGGAAAGAAGAGGAATGAGATACAGATAAAAGATTCACAATCTGACCCAATTGGAAATCCAAAGTACACTAACAGAATTTACATAACAAAAAAGATAAAAGGGCGCTCCTTGGCCCTTGAGCCTGCAAAACATAAGTTCTGGATTGTTACCATCTCCTATAACGCAGTAATTCACTGTCATGCAATGACTCAATGCTACATTACATTAGTTATACCTGGGATGTCAGTAAATGGAAGCAAAGTACCCGATGACCTTCAGGGATTACTGAAATAACACAGGGCACATGGCATACTTCACGATGACCATGAGAACCTTTTCCTTGCCTCATGGTCATAACACCCACTATCTTCAAATCTCTCTGGTGTCAGGAAAGCTTGGAACCAATAATATATAAATTAAAATGTGCCACTTCCAAATTGGATTCACCGGACGGGAATTACGGTTTTTACTTTTTAGTAAAATTAGATAATATAGCCTGGTGTAAATTAAACAGGACCCTTGAGGACTGAAAACTGCTATAAGAAACCTTTTAGGAAAATGTGATTACCCCCAGTGCTTCTCCTTTGAACAGCCGAATTTGGCCTGTTCTTAAATCTGGAAAGAATGAATGACAGCTCACTGTATTGCCATAGACTTGAGGCTGTGGTGGTACCAAATCAGCCCCTAGTCCCAGTCCCCAACTGGCCTGTTCTTAAATCTGGAAAGAATGAATGACAACTCACACTGGATTGCCATAGACTTGAGGCTGTGGTGGCACCAAATCAGCCCCTAGTCCCAGTCCCCAGCATTATGGAAATTACTGACCCCATCCACCCAGCAACTGGTACACATTCTGCTATCAAAGATTTGGCCAAGTGTGATTTGTTCAGTGCCTGTGTCAACAGCATCTTAGCAGCCTAGCTGCCGTTGGCCTTCACCTCTGAAGGGACACGATACAACTTGACCTGGTTCCCTTCAGGGAAGCTCAGAAGCACTGCCACCGCATACAGTCTCTGCAGGGAAGATTTGAGCTGCGTTTACCTTGCTCCAGGAGTACATGTGACATGACATTCATAACATTCTCTTTTGTGGACATTCTTTTGACATTTAGGGCTTATATATATTGAAAAAAGTGGCTTGAAATAAGTGGTTGGTCCGTTGCCTGAAACATGAGAGCCTGATGCCTTTGTTCCTTTTTAAAAAACTATTTTAATAAATAAAATGCTACAACCTTCCTGACACCATGAAGAAAAAATAGCTCTAGTAGATTCTTTTGTGTTAGTGAGGCAACAAATTCCTGTTTCCAAATTTACTTGAGCCTATTTAGGCCACTACTTGCAAACTGCCCCAACCGTAGAAGGTTCTAGACTGTTTAAATTGCCATTAATTGCCTCTCCTTCCATCTGCAGTTACATGATGGCCTCACATTGTAATATCTGTCTTACTCTTTTCTTAGTTATTTTGACCAGATGTTTATCGATTTTATTTATCTTGTCAAATAGCTTTTATTGTTTTGATGTTCTTCATTGATTTCTCACTATCACCTGGATTTCTAATTTTTATTATTTAATTCTGCTTACTTTCGGTTTAATTAGCTCTTTTTGTTTCATAATTGGATGGTTACATTAATGATTATAGATCTTTTTTTCTAGTGTATTTGTTCGATGGCATCACTTACCCCTTGGGCATTGATTGCTGTTGCTGCCAAAATATTTATTTTTCTTGAGATGTTTTTTGATTCCATATCTTCTTTAGAAGTGTGTTATTGAATGTCTACATATGTGGGGTTTATCGAACTATCTGTTATTAATTTCTAGACTAATGCCTGTGTGGTGTGAGAGCATATTTTGCATGATTTCTGTTCTTTCAAAAATTTAAGGTGTGCTTCGTGTCCCAGAATGTGTTCTGTGTTGGTGAAGGTTCCATGTGAACTTGAGGAGAATGTGTATTCTGCTATCGTTGCATGAAGGAGTCCACAGATTACAATTAAATCCAGTTGTTATGTGGCACTGTTGAGTTCATCTCCGTCCTTGGAGATTTTCTGCCTGCTGGGATTTATAACTCGTGATAAAGGGGTGATGAAGTCCACAGTGGTAATAGTGGATTCCTCCAATGTTCCTTGCACACACTCAGTTTTTGCCTCGTGTATTTTGTGTCTCTTGTGCATGAACACATGAAGGATGCTATGCCTTCTTGGAGAATGGATCCCTTTTATTATTGTTTTAAATTTAAATACATGTTATTTTAATCAAACTGTCATCTGTTATATTATGATAAATACAAAAGGTATTTTACCTTCATTTATTCTTTCTTCATCATTTGTATTATAATGAATTATTGATCACTTCTTTTAAAGTAGGTGTACTCATGACAAATTCCATCAATTTTTGTCTCTGTCTTTTATTTCTGAAGGATAGTTTTATACAGAATTCTAGAAGATTGGGTTCTTCTTTTAAAAATTTAAATATTTCTCTTTACTTTTTTTTTCTTTGCTTGATTTCAGAAAGAAGTTTAATTCTAATGTTTGTTTCTTGAAAACTAAGGTGTTTTCCCCTCTGGCTTCTTTCAGTATATTTTCTTTGTCTTTGATTTTCATCTTGTTTTAATATGAGATACTTGGTTGTGGACTTCTGTTCTTTTTCATGTTTAGAGTCATGTGAGCTTCCTAGATTGACAATTTGCCATCTATTGTTAATTCTAGGAAAATCTCAATGATTACTACTTCACTGATTTTATTCTGATTTTTTTCTTTTCCTTCAGGTATTCCCATCATGTGCATTTATACCTGCGTAAAGCAGATTGTCCTGGGGATCATGGATATTGTATTCTGTCTTTTTTTGTTCTCTTTTGTCTTAGCAATAACTTTTTTCCATGCTAGGAACAAACTATTTGGGGCATTTTTTCTGAATGCTGAGTTTATTTTCTCTTTCTCAATTTTGGAGACACTGAGTTATCCTGTGACCTAAATGCTCTGGTAGATCCAAGAAGAGAAGTTCGTTTTCAAGTTTTTCACTTTTTTCTAGTGAGGTTGGTCGGGAATGACAGCTTCTAACTTACTTAAATGCCAGACCATAAACCCGAAGTCTCTGACTCCACTTTTCTGTCATTGACAGCTGACAGCTTTTAAGCCTCAGCCTTCCTTCTTCACCCTGTGCCCCACATCTGTACAAGTTGATAAGAAACCTTGAATCCATGCAAGCTCCTGCCCTAGCTCGCCCCCTTAACTCATAAAAAAATAAGTCTGTGCACCTTCTTTTACCTTTCACAGGCTGTTTCATGCCTGATTGAGTGGCCTGCCTTATGCTTCCCAGTGATCTCAATCATAGAAGCAATAACTCTTTTCATAACTGTTGGTTATGTGTGGTGTCATTAGCTGAGGGATCCCATGCTTAGGGGTTGAGCAATCGTGCTCCTTTACTCCTTGGGGGCACTTGAAAATTACATAAGAAAGAAGGGCAACCTCTACAGTGGCTGGTCAGGAAACACTTCCTCCTGATTGGGGAATGGAGGTGTTATGTCCTTTTGCAGGAAAGCACTGCTGACACCTTTAGGTATTTTATAATCGTGGGCAAATTTACCATCAAACCATTGTGGACGTCAGTGAACTCTCTTGCAATCTGCAGCTTTTAACCAGTGTCAGCAGCGCTCAGGATTGACTGTTATCATTCTGCTGGAAAGCACACTTCTGGCATATTATTATCTCATATGTGTGCTGATGTGTGCCCCAAATTGGCTGGAAGTGGTCTTGAGGCACATAAGTATAAGGATCTTGTGGCCTAAGTTATCATGCTTTCTTCCTTGTATCTGAGCTCTAATTTCCAAATAACTTTCTAGACCATAAAATCATACAGAGAAAGAAAAAACCGAGTCTGTGATAAATGTTACACAAGGTAAAAGCAATACTTCTGTACAAGCATATTTTCAGCAAGCTGTGTCTGATTACAGGCATACTGTGGACGAACTGCAGGTTTGGTTCTAGACCACTGTAATAAAGCAAATATCAATAAAGAAAGTCACATGAATTTTTCGGTTTTCCAGTGTATAAAGAAGTTACATTCATACTGCAGTCTATTAGTTGCGATAGCTTTATGTCTAAATGGTTAGTGTACATACCTTAATTTAAAAAAATACTGCTAAAAAATGCTAACCATCATCTGAGCCTTCACTGAGTTGTAATGTTATTGCTGGTGGAAAGTTTTATCTCGATACTGATGAAAACGCAGTATCTGCCAACCGCAATAAATGAGGTATGTCTGCACTTCTGATGGTCTGGAGGACTTTAGGACAATATGGCCAGTTACACTTTGTTAAATGTCGGGTTTTCACAGGCCTCCTGGACTCTGTTTTTGGCAATGGGAGTAGAAGAAAAAGCTTCCAGTTCTTCATTATGATTTTATTCATTGAAACCTCATGCAAATGTGACCCTCTGTTTTATGGAGTGCTATAAATGGTGGGGAATATGGAAGGAGATGAAAGAATTTTTTCCACACGGAATTGGTAGTCTTAAAATGATAATATTCGTTTCATTTGTATACCATTTCTGTCATTTCCAACATTGTCTGAACCCTGTCATTTGAAAAATAAAAATGTAATGTAATCACAGTAAAAATGTGTTGATAATTTCCATGTGTTTATGATGATGTTAAATTTATAAAGAGATCTATGGCCATGCTACCCTGAACAAGCCCGATCCCATCTGATCTCGGAAGCTAAGCAGGGTCGGGCCTGGTTAGTACTTGGATGGGAGACCACCTAGGAAGACCAGGTGCTATAGGTGTAAAAAATAAAAAAATAAGGGATTGTAAACTGACAAGATCCTTGCAATCTGTGAGGTCAACCAAGGGTTGCCTCGCCTAAAAAATTAAATTAAACAAACAAACAAATAAATAAATAAATAGAATGTGGCCAGACAGTAAATTCTTGATGATTAGTCAGAGTAAATGTTTGGAGATGATAGAATCATACAAAACCTTCCTATAAATAGAGGAGATATTTAGTGCTGTCAGTCTCACACATCCTACTCTACACTCATTTGGGGTGTTTTAGGACTCTGTGGCCTATGAGGATGTGGCTGTGAACTTCAGTGTGGAGGAGTGGGCCCTACTGGATCCTTCCCAGAAGAAACTCTACAGAGATGTGATGCGGGAAACCTTCAGGAACCTGGCCTCAGTAGGTAAGGATGACAGCTTACCTTCACTTCCTCAATTAGAGAACAAGTATTTCTTACCTGTCAACATTGTTCTAATGTATACTATGAGAAGGAAGTTAGTCAATAAGCTGGGCATGGTCGCAATTTACCATAGAGCTAGAATCTAATAACTGTAAAATTTCTAATACTTTGGAATTATTTCTCTGGGTCTGCATTTTAGGGAAAAAGTGGGAAGCTCATGACATTGAAGATCAGTACAAAAACCAAGGAAGAAAACAAAGGTGAGTCATACAACAGAAAGCGGTGTCTCACATGAGAAACCTGTTATGCTATAGAACTTTAAAAGTAGCAACCAGAACAACCCTTGCTTCAAATTTCTTACTTCTCAGAAAATTTTTAACTGAATTACACTTTCTTATATATGACATAGATATTCAGTATTTGCAAACTAGTTCGCATGGAGACAGCATTAATAAATCCTATATATGAATATCACTTTTTTTTGCCATTTTTCTTTAAGTATAGTTGGTATACAATATTATATTAGTTTTAGGTGTACAATGTAGCGATTCGATCTTTTTACAACTTACAATGTGATCACCGAACTAATTCTGGTAATCATGTCCCATGTAAACCTATCACAATATTATTGACTGTATTCCCCTTCACCTTTTTCCCCATCCTTCTACCTCTCTCCCCTCTGGTAACCATCTGTTTGGTCTCTGTTTCTATAAGTCTGTTTATGTTTGGTTTCTTTCTTTGTTTTGTTTTTATAGGTTCCACATATAAGTGAAACCATATGGTATGTGTCTTTCTCTGTCTGACTTATTTCATTTAGCATAATACTCTCTAGGTCCATCCATGTTGCTGCCAATGGCGAGATTTCATTCTTTTTGATGGCTGGGTATATATACCACCTTTTCTTTATTCATTTGTCTATCAATGGACACCTAGGATGCTTCCATATCTTGACTATTGTAAATAATGCTGTAATGAACATAAGGGTGTATATATATCTTTTCAAATTAATGTCTTTTTCTTTGGATAAATAACCAGAAGTGGAATTCCTGGGTCATATGGTAGATCTATTTTTAGTTTTTTGAGAAACTCCTTCCTGTTTTCCATAGGGTCTGCACCAATTTGCAGTCTCACCCACAGTACACAAGGCTCCCCTTTTCTCCACATTTTATTTGTTGTCTTTTTCATAATAGCCATTCTTTTTGGTGTGAGGTGGTATCTCATTATGGTTTTGATTTGCATTTCCCTGATGATTAGTGATGTTGAGCATTTTTTCATTTGTCTGTTGGCCATTTCTATGTCTTATTTGGAGAAATGTCTTTTCATGTTCTCTGCCCATTTTTTTGATCAGATAGTTTATATTTTGTTATTGAGTTGTATGAGTTCCTTATATATTTCGATATTAACCCCTTATTGGATATATCATTTACAAATATATTCTCCCATTCAGTATGTTGTCTTTTTGTTTTGTTGGTTTCCTTCACTGTGCAGAAGCTTTTAGTTTGCAGAAGTCGCATTTTTTAAAATTTTTGTTTTTGTTTCCCTTATTTAATGGGACATACCCATAAAGATATTACTCAGACTGATGTCAAAAAGTTTACTACCTATGTTTCTTTCTAGGAGCTTTCTAGTTTCAGGCCATAAATTTAAATCTTTAATCCATTTTGAGTTGATTTTTATATAAGGTGTAAGACATTGGTCCAGTTTCATTTTTTTTGCATGTATCTGTCCAGTTTTCCCAGCACCATTTGTTGAGACTGTTGTTAATCCATTGTATATTCTTATCTCCTTTGTTGTAGATTAGTTGACCATATAAACAAGGGATTATTTCTGGGCTTTCTATTCTGTTACATTGATCTATGTGTCTATTTTTATGCCAGTACCATGCTGTTTTGATAACTGTAGTTTTGTAGTATAGTTTTAAATCAAGGAGTGTGATAATTCCAACTTTATTCTTCTTTCTCTCAAGATTGCTTTGGCTACTTGTCATCTTTTGTGGTTCCATATATGTTGTAGGATTATTTGTTATAGTTCCGAGAAGAATGTCATTGATAGTTTTATAGTGATTGCATTGACTCTGTAGATTGCTTTGGGTTTTATGGTCATTTTAATGATATTAATCCTTCCATGAGCACGTATATCCTTCCATTTGTTTGTGTCCTTTTCAATTTCTTTTGTAAGTGTCTTACAGTTTTTCGAGTATAGGTTTTTTTACTACCTTGTATAATTTTATTCCTATGTATTTAATTTAAGTTTTTGGATGGCAATTGTAAATGTAATTGTTTTAATTTTTCCTTCTGATTGTTTGATGTTAATGTATAGGAATGTGATGGATTTTAATATATTAATTTTGTATCCTGCTACTCTACTGAATTTTTTAAAAGTTATTTATTTATTTAATTCAATTTATTGTGTGACTCTTGGTATCTATATAGCATACAGGCTTCCCTTAAATTAAACTTCCTATCCATAATGAATTCGTCAAGAAATGTAAATAGAGGAGGAGTGCAGGAAAAGGGAGGGGTGACAGAAGAATTTTGTACTGTACAGAGCTGTGAGTGCAAGCACTTCATTTTTGCCTCCTCTCAAATAACCAACATGCCCATGCTAATGTTCGCCCAAGATGTCATTCAGCTTTTACTTTTGGTCAATGGTCCCTTAGTAACCCCACAGCCAGCCTCCACTGCCTGTGCCTTTGGCAATTATCCTTGGTCAGGGACTGGCTCTAGCCTTTGTAGATGCCTGTGGATGCTGCAAGTAGTTCCTCAAAGGGGAGAAGGGAAGGTAACTATTATTCACTGTACCCCTGAGGCTCTACCTTTCTGCAGAGTGGGTAGGAGAACCCAGGTCCTTCCAGGTCTTGGCAGTGCACTAAAAGACCGGCTGAAGCATTGAGAGAAGGCTGACAAGCCAGAGCCCAGCCTGGTGGTCGGGGATGGGCGGGTGGGGGG